TTATGGCTGAAGGTCTGAAAATATGAAATGCTGGCTTAAGAAGTGCACTTAATTCATTTTCTTGCTATTGATTTGCATAAAAAACCTTCCATATTTACTTGGATATATCCTGATAATTTGTTCTTTTCCAATGTACCAAAAAAAATATCCTGATAACTTGTTTGGTGCTTATTTTTTAAAATGGTTCTTGTAAAGGTGATAGGAAACTTCTTACTGGCTTTGATTCTATCACATCTAAGCATATAATATGATTACATGCAAAACTCATCTTTCATTTATTAGGCTGGTAATTTTAGTGCATCCAAGAGGTATAGATATTTGTCTCTTTATTAAGAAAATGATATCAATTTATTATATAAAAGTTATTGATAGTTGCTCTTGTGCTCTTTCTATGTGTGAAATTTTCATACCAGGTGAACAGCTTTCAAAAAAGCAAGCTGCTCAGGAAGCTCAGATTAGAAAACTAAGGGCACAGGTTTGCTTTCATGCATAATAAAGCTTGTTTATTGCTTCTACACTTCTCTTAGTTTTAATCAACTTTCCCTCTGTTCTGAAAGCTAGATTAGAGAGCTTGAAGAAGAGAAGAAAGGATTACAGACCAAGCTAGAGGTTTGTTTCTTCAGTTTTAGTTTGTGAAACTTTGACACGGATGATTTACTTTATGTTGTACAGTATAAACATATAGTATAGTGCGAATGATCCCAGCAAAAGAGGTCTATTTGATCTTTTGTGTCACAAAATACTTCATTCAATCATTTTATGTTTGTTACTTCCATCTTCTGCTTATTAGATAGTGAATGACTTCATTATGTGATCTTGCTATGGAGTCTAATATATGCTTGCATGTTCAGAAGAATTTGGATTTCAAGTAAATTGCTATTATGAAGGGGTCTAGTTTCATAATTGGACTTTTGTTTTATTTGTTGCAGGTAGAAGAGAATAAAGTGGAGAGTATACGAAGGGATAAGGCTGCAACTGAGAAGTTGCTTCAAGAATCAATTGAGAAACACCAAGCAGAACTTACAACTCAGAAGGAATACTACACACATGCTTTGAGTGCAGCAAAGGAAGCTGAAGCATTAGCTGAAGCACGGGCAAATAATGAAGCTAGAACAGAACTAGAGGGCCGTCTAAGAGAGGCTGAGGAGCGTGAATCCATGCTAGTTCAGGCTCTTGAAGAATTAAGGCAAACGCTGAGCAGAAAGGAGCAGCAGGTTTCATTTCTGGAACATTGTCCTACAGGGGGATATTTTTATCTACTGTGTAACATCTTTTTCCTTTTTGCAGGCTGCTTTTAGGGAAGATATGCTGCACAAAGACATCGAGGATATTCAGAAAAGATATCAAGTAATATTTACTTCAATTTGGTGGAAATTATCCTGATTGTGTTCTTAACTATACTCAAGTTAGCTGATATTATTGTCTTCCCAGTCGAGTGAGCGAAGATGTGAGGAGTTGATAACCCAAGTTCCTGAATCTACCAGACCTCTTCTCCGGCAGATTGAAGCCATGCAGGTTCTGGAGTGCTTCACATATTGTTGTTTCCTTATAAAGGTTAGATGTGTCATATCTCTGTATGATGGTTTCGGTAATGGTTGCAGGAGACAAATGCCAGAAAGGCTGAAGCTTGGGCTGCTGTTGAGAAATCATTGAATTTACGGCTTCAGGTTTTCTGTAAAAACAAACGCTTTGTCTATTTTATTTTATTGTGGACATTTTAACGCATTCTTAAATTGACTCTGCAGGAGGCAGAGGCCAAAGCTGCAGGTGCTGAGGAGAAGGAGCGATCTATTAATGAGCGCCTATCACAAACTTTATCTCGGATTAATGTGCTTGAAGCTCAGGTTTTCTACTTGTTTCTTTGGTGCTATAGTACTAAAGTGTTAATTTAGTCCTTAGTTTATACAAATGAGATGCTGCAGATATCTTGTCTTAGAGCTGAGCAAACCCAATTAACAAGGTCCCTAGAGAAGGAGAGACAGAGAGCTGCAGAACACAGGCAGGAATATCTTGCTCTAAAGGAGGAAGCTGACACTAATGAAGGTCGTGCAAAGCAGCTTGAAGATGAAATTAGGGAACTCAGACGGAAACACAAGCAGGAACTGCAAGAAGCATTGACACACCAGGAACTCCTGCAGCAGGTCATTACTGCTTGAACATTTGGCAAAGCCTATGATTTTAGATTATGATTATGGATTGAATAAAAAGAACTTTTGAGTAGTATATAGTAAAGTCACACTAGTCAAGTTGATGATTAAATAAGATATTCCAATAACGGTTTAGCTTAGCCAAACCTCCTACGATATCCAATAACTTGTTAGGCCTAAACTTCATAAGTGGCTTATTTAGCACATCTCATGTATCCAATGGTTGCCTATTTTGCAGTAGTAGTGCACCCTTTATGCTGTCATTCCTCCAAGAAAGAAAAAATGAAAAAAGAAAGCATAAAAAGGAAGGGCATACTCGTATAAAAATTAACCCAATCTCAATTATGAACAGGAGTTAGAGCGGGAGAAAGCTGCTCGTTTGGATCAAGAAAGGGCGGCTCGTGTTCAACCATCGGTTGGGCCTGATCAAAGTCCATTAGCAAGGCAAAAGTCTGGATTTGAAAATGGTGAGTCAATAACAGTTTTAAACATTAACCAACTTGGTTGGCGTGAGTGGCCGTGCACTCTTGTCCCTTAAGAGAGGTCGGGAGTTCGAACCCCCTCTCGTATGGAAAAACCAATCTGGCCAGCACTTTGCCCCTTAATTGGGCCGGCCTGGTGCGAACGGGGATTAGTTTGAGTATGGTACAGGCTTAAAGGTGCCCCCCACAGTTAGGGTGTGCTCAGGATACCTCATGGTCTGACCCAAAAAAAAAACAGTTCTAAACATTAAACAATCATGCCTCTTACTGTGTTTTTCTATGTCTATCAATCACCTATTGCAGGTAATTTGGCACGTAAAATTTCGAGTGCTAGCAGTTTGAGCAGTATGGAGGAAAGTTATTTTCTCCAGGCATCTTTAGACTTTTCAGAGACTTCATCCGAGCGTAGACATACTGGAGAGGTTACTATGAATCCATATTATGTAAAAAGCATGACGCCAAATGTTTATGAAGCTTCACTTCGGCAGAAGGAAGGCGAGCTTGCATCATACATGTCACGATTAGTATGGTTTCTTCTGAAGTTTCTTATGGGTTTAATTTTTACCCATTCAGGGTTATGCTATAATTACATTAATGAAGGATAGCTGCTATACCTCTGAAACATTTTTTTTCTTTGTTTCACTCCTATGAAGCTATTTTTTTTAAAAAAATTTGTATCAACAATTCCAGGCATCTATGGAAGCCATCCGCGACTCTCTTGCCGAAGAGTTGGTGAGAATGACTGCAGAGGTGAGTTATTGGCTAAACAGTTAATATTTATTTTTATTTGGTGGGTCACTAAGCTCTATTGCCTTCTCTGCTTATATTGCTTGACCTAATCATTATTATTATTGATAGTGTGAGAAGCTTAGAGCAGAAGCTGCAACACTGCCTGGAATACGGGCAGAGCTAGAAGCACTTAGGCGGAGACATTCTGCAGCACTAGAGTTAATGGGTGAGCGGGATGAAGAGGTAAGCTCTTTCTTATTCATTTGCTCTGGTCCTCTTGAATTGTCATTAAAAGATAAGATTATGTATTTGCTTTTATTAATTTGGATAGTAGCAGTAGTCCAGAACTTCAGACAACCATACATGTTTGGAAAAAGGGGCTAAAATGTTGAGAGAATAGAAAAAAAAATTCATATACCTTGATATGGATTAAGTTTTTAAGGTTTATGAAAAAAAAATCCCAAAGTTCATGAGAGGTTTCAGCATTCATGCCCCAGAGAATGATTTTTGAATGGCATGTTAATATTTGTGCAGCTGGAAGAACTTCGTGCAGATATAGTAGACCTGAAAGAGATGTACCGAGAACAAGTGAATTTGCTTGTAAACAAGGTATGATAGCCTTAATTTTGTTGTTCTGCAACTCTAGTGCCACAATTTTTTTCTGCATAAGTTATCTGTTCACATTATGTTTGCAGATCCAGGTGCTTAGCTCGTCTCTGGGTTCTACTTGAAGCTTTGCTGTCAGATACAGCTTCTTTTTGTCTGTAGTATATCCATCGATTAAATTGTGACAACTCTACATCCCCCCCCCCCCCCCCCCCCCCCTTCCCCATTTCCATTACAGATTTTATCCAAGTACGGAGTTAAATCATTTCTACTGAAAAACTTCCGCCGTAAGAGTGTGATATGTATTTGTATAGCTTCTTTTATTGTGACTTCTTGTCAACTTTCTTTGTTTTTCCAAATTTTCACTAGTCTTTCTGGTTTGATTAGTTACATTAAGTGTTAATAGAAATAATGACATTCCCCTTTTCTTTCTTCAATTTTTTTTAGCATTCTCTGCTAATCTAGAACTCTAGAAGTCCAACCATTTATTCGCCTTAATAAGTAGTGCTTATAACCAAATGGCAAAATTTCACTAAGAAATCCATCCATTGGATTAGAAGTAAGGCAACATGGAAAAATTTACGTGTTAATATTACTGTTTGAAGCCATCCAATGCAAGCATATATGCAACGCGCAGTCAAATTGATATATTATTCCTGATCTCCGTAATTAATTAATTATAGTTGCAACCCACTTATTACAAACATTTGAAAAGAAAAGGAAAAAAACACACTTATATTGCAAGGGGACATGGATTTGAGCTCCAGTGTGAGTTGTGAAGAAAATAGTTATGAACAATACATTGTAACAGAATGAAGAGTACTAAAAAAAAGATTAAACTTTCACATAGTTTTAGATTAAGCTTATATAACCTGCAAATTAGCGAATTGTTTTTTTGGATATATCCATAATTTACACCGTAACACAGTGACTAATCCCTTCGCGAAATTGTAGACACCTCTTTTGGGTGGGAGAATTGGCATGGATATTTAAATGAATTATACTCATAAACTAATAAATAGAATAGGGCCTGCCGGCCCCGGAAACCATAACCGACAACGCATTTTAACATCCATACATAAAACGGCTTACACGTTGTGACGCTGCGTCATCGCGCCACGTTCGACGTCTCCCTTTTATCACTCGCCTGATAGTGATAGCGAGACTCCGGTAGTCCGGTGCCTAAGCCTTTCGCATTTTACCGGTCGCCATCCTGACATTGAAAATTTTCTCCAGCGTTTAGTTGCACTTGGCTCCACTATATTTTCGGAATTCAAAATTGCTGCGATGTAATGATATTCTCTCTCTCTCTCTCCCTCCCTCCCTCCCTTATACGTTTCTCCGTGTGTACATATACATTGCATGCGTATTTGTTCGTGAATGTGTGATTGTGAGTTGGTACGGAGGTATAATTACTTAGCAAATCTCCCTCCCTCGCTCTCCGTCTTCATTTGGCCAAAAACTCGCTTTCAAGTATTTATTAGACATTCACGATATTCAACATCAGATCTGGGGTAATTGTTTTTCCACAATTTGCTGATTTTGTTGCAGATGATACATGCATTTTGGTTATTTACATGGATTACCAGAAGTAACTATATATAATACTATGTGATGATGGTTCAATGCCGCATTCTGTCTTGGGTGGCAGAGTTGATTTGGATTCTTACACTAATTTTCTGGTAATTCTCAATTTTAGTTTTTGAAATGATGGGCCCCCAGAGAGACATATACTCCATGTACAAACGTGCATCCTTCAGGGAACATGACCTCCCTTTCTATGATAGAGAAGAAAACATAGGTACATTTCTCATATGATGGATGCTTTTTGTTCTTTGTTTTCTGTGTTTTATTCACTTCAGGATCTAAGGTTTAAGCAATCCATCCATTGCCCTAATTTTCATCTTTAGATGAATGTGATGACTTCAGATCATTCTATAAGTGCCTTGTAATTTTTGAAAGCTCAACAAAGCCAAGTTGCTACCTCTATGTTGCTTTTTAACTTCAATAAAACATAACAGCATTTGCCTTCCGTCATCTAATAACATATGACAAGATAGTAATCTCAAAGTTCAAAAAAAGAAAAGCTTCAATAACATGAATGGTGCTATGCAAAAGAGATATCAAATTTAATGTCTAATCTTCAAAGTTTGGTATGAATTCCTAGGTCGCATACATAGTGGGGTTTATAAAGATAATGTTGGGAGCCCCTCATGGAAGCACTCCTTACCTCACATTTTGGTGGCTACTCTCTCGTCTTTTTTATATGGCTACCACCTAGGGTATGACTTGAAATCTTGAAATTTTGTTGGTTAGCGTGTTGATCTTGTGGATTAAATGTCCTTCAATTTCTCTGGACTTTGGTGTACTCAGGGTGGTTAATGAGACACTGGAAAGCATTTCTTTGGATCTTGGTTTTGGTGGTAGTACCTTGGCTGAAGGTATTCTGCAACAGAACTTCATGTTCTTCATTTTTTGAGTACCATTTCAACTCCCCTTATTTTAGTTTATTGAATCTCCCTATGAGCTTACCATTTTTCAACTGTAGGCCTGGTAGTGAGTACATGTTTAGCAGGTGCATTTGTTGGCTCTATAATTTGTGGTTGGATAGCAGATGGAGTTGGTCGTCGTAGGTCTTTTCAATTGAGTGCGCTACCAATGATCATTGGTATTTCTATGAGGTAATACATGCTGTATTCTGTTATGTAAATTTACTATATACTCAAGTGTCAGGTAATTACCAACTATTGAAAGGAGTTAGGCATCGGTTATATATGTATATACTCTGCCACTTGCTATAAATTCTGTTATGGAGTAATGGTGAAGTTGCTGGATTGAATCTAATGTTACAGATTGTTAAAGAACAACTACTAAAAGAAATTGATGAGCAAGTTCCCTAATATCCATAGGACTGACATTTATTACATTATTGCTTTCGTGTAAATCTCAACTAAATATGAAATTTACTGAAGGCCCTTCAACCTCTTAAGTGCAGTGCAACAACAAATACTCTTGGACGAATGCTTATCGGGAGGTTGCTTATTGGTATAGGGATGGGTCTTGGTCCTCCTGTTGCTGCTCTCTATGTAGCAGAAGTATAACTTTGTTGTTTCTAGCTCCACCCAAGAATATTGCTTATTCTTGTTCTAGTATTGCATTTACCTCAAGCTTTGTTTTACCTTTCTGAGCAGGTTTCGCCAGCTTCTGTAAGAGGCATGTATGGGAGCTTCCCTCAGATTGCGACATGCCTTGGTCTTATGGGTTCTCTCGTCATTGGGATTCCATCCAAGGATATTCGTGGTTGGTAAGATGCATGTCAACGGTCTTTTTTCCTTGCATCATTTATATCTAATTCTGATTCATGCTAATAGTTTTTGCTGTTTGTTTACATAAATGAATTGTCCTCAATTTGAGAGCAAACCTAGCCTTCTTTTACCCAAAGATTCTACCCTCACCAGATAAAATAGGCATCCCATTACCTCTTCACAAATTGTATTTTAACTAAAGCTCTTGACCTTACTTTGTCTTTCAAATGATCTGCAGGTGGCGGATTTGCTTTTGGGTGTCTGTTGTTCCTGCCATATTACTCGCTGTTCTGATGGAGTTATGTGTGGAAAGTCCTCATTGGCTTGTCAAGGTGAGAACCTCTCATCAGCTATTATGCTTTCCAGTACTTGGCCTTGAGTTTTGACTTAAAAGTAGTGTGTTGAAATCATTTATATGGCATAGTTTGTTGATTTTTAGGTGGTTTGAAATGAAACAATCTGTTTGACGGGACATTTACAAAATGTGATCATAGAATTAGGCATCTTATTTTATCCAAAAAAAAAAAAGAAAAAAAGAATTACGCATCTTATACAGGCAAAGAGCCATGATATGAACCTTATGCTCTCAAACTCAACAGCATCTGATCTATTTGTTCTTTTTAGTGGCCGTTCACTTGTGTTTTTATGGACTTGACTTAGAGAGGAAGAATTGCAGCAGCTGAAGAAACGCTTGAGAAGCTTATCGGATTGCCACATGTGAAATCTGCAATGGCAGAACTTTCAAAGTCAGACAAAGGGGATGGGATGGACACCGTAAAATTCTCGGGGTTACTTTATCCTCCTCATTTTAGAGGTATAGAGGGTTGCAGATGTAATTTCACTCGATCCCATTTTGCTCTCTCACAAAGTAATTACTTCCAATAATTTGGGCAGTGGTTTTTATTGGGTCTGTCCTATTTGCTCTTCAACAACTATCTGGGATAAATGCCGTGTTCTATTTCTCTTCTACGGTGTTTAAAAGTGCTGGAGTACCTTCAGACATTGCAAACATATCTGTAGGGGTTGTAACCTTGACAGGTCTGGCAATCTCTAACCAACTCACTCTTCCTGCAAATTTTTGCTGGTTGTTTTGTTTGTTTACTAACACCCATTAACGTCTCTATTGTCTGCAAATTCTGCAGGGTCCATTATTGCAATGATTTTAATGGATAGACTAGGAAGGAAGATGCTTCTTATCTGGAGTTTTTGGGGCATGGTAATTGAAGTATTCTTGACCAATCACTAGCGCTGCATTGATATTTGATAGAGATATGTCATTAGAAGTGCTTGTGTTAGAACTTATGAAATAGTTTTGTCTGGTTCAGGTTGTTGCAATGGCTTCTCAAGTGTTAGCAGCGTGTTCTTTCACAACAGGCTCTATAAAAGTATACCTATCTGTCGGAGGCATTCTATTGTGAGTAATCCACTGGAAAATTAAGCGTTGGGGAAGTGCCTATTTTATTACGTACATATATAAATACATGATGTTGAAAACCTTATGAGATACTTAATTCATATTAGCAAAAATGACAATTTAATAGGGATGTCCTGTCGTTCTCTTTGGGGGCTGGACCGGTGCCCAGTCTCCTCCTGTCTGAGATATTCCCTGGTTGGATTAGAGCAAAGGCAATGGCTCTCTGCATGGCTGTGCATTGGGTAACCCCCGTTCTATATATTCTCTTTAATTCTTTCATCTCCCATTTTAGTTGTTTGCTACTGATATCTCTTGATTTAGGAATTTTAAGGCATAATGACCGAAAATCTTGTGAAATATTGACAGTATAGCAGTTGATGAACTTGGTATTTGACAGATGGTAAATTTTTTTGTCGGACTTTTGTTCCTGCAATTGTTGGAACAACTCGGACCGAGAATTTTGTACACAGCATTTGGCACATTTAGCTTGATAGCAGTGATCTTTGTGGAGAGGAATGTGGTTGAGACAAAAGGAAAAACACTGCAAGAAATCGAGTTTTCCCTTCTTCCATCTCGTTAGTTCAGGTTGTCTTTATTGGGTATGTACGTGCAGACAACCAATTCTTCAGTAGTGTGAGATTTAGACAGACATTTGATGTGTGTTCAAACATGTGATGATATATGCAGGAGTATTGGGAGAGTGGATAAACAAACGATTATGATCAATCCACGAGTGCATTGGGGGTGGTCCATAAGTATTGTTATTAGATTATGAACGATATGAGATTTTACTATATTACACGGTTTCATTTATCAGTCGAGTTACACAGATGATGTATTATTGTATGATCACATGTATGGGCAACCATTACTCACTTTTCTTGAAGCTAAAAATATGAGGCTTCATGGCCAGGTCAAAAGCATCAAACTTTAGCAAATAGAAGAGAGAACTTGCATGAAAAAGTGTTGTTTAATAGCCAACGATGACTTGCCTACACCACTTGTAACATTATAGTTTCTCAGAATACTCTTGGTTTTTTTTTTTTTTTTTTTTTTTTTTTTTTTTTTTTTTGGTTTAAACTATGAGGTGTTTTGATTTTTTTATTTTTCGATCTGTTTGAATTCGAATTATCTCAAAATTCTTTTCCTCAATATAAAGCTTATTTGCCACTTGAACTATCCCGCATTGACTTATTCTTGGGGTTAACTTAACACATGTCAATATGCATACGAATAAGAATTACTCCACGTGACAAATTGACAACAAAAGACTAAATTATTAATAACGAAGGCTAAAGTGGGAATTAATTAATAATTTGACACAATGTTTTATTGGTGAAATTTGTCGTCCTTATAGATGGTGTCTCATATGTAATAATATGTAAATAAAAAATGAGCGAAATGAGCAAAAATTTTATCCCTCAACAATCTTATCAGGTCAGGATGTAAAGACACTTTAATCAAGTATGTAAATCAATCACATGAAAGATAATATGCAAAACTCATTACCGCCATTAAAAACACACATCCTACTGTCTAAATAAGTCCACACAATTGTTATTTTAAGAGATGTTTTTAAATGATTATATATATATACTGTATATATACGGAGTAATAATACTCCATAATTAAAACTGACACTTTAACAATTAAAAATGAAAAATTACTGTAAAATTCAACCCTCAAATCTCTAATTCCCAAATCCTAATATCGAAAATCCCTATTCCGAATTTCCTAAATCCTAACATAGCCAAGGCCGACGACGGAGCTAGTATCAGCGGACGCCGCCGCCTCCCGCCCTACCCTGCGAATCTGCGACGAAGCAAGCAGAAGACGAAGAAGGTTAGGCCGACGACGCTGCGGTCGCTGCCTCCCTCCCTCCCCTGCGAATCTAGGTATGTCATCTTCATTGAAATCTATGTAGTACGGACTGAGTGACTGACGATGCCTTGACACGGCCGTGTCGTCGAAGACCGGAAATCTTTGCTAATGAAAAATTAAATATGACTAGTTTCTCTGTTATAATGCAAATAAAACAGATTTTCCTAGCTTCTGAAAAGGAGAGAGTTGAGTTGTCATGGTTTACAGATTTTGTAATGTGTATGCTACTGTAAATTATATTTTTCTCGTATTACAGCTAATGGTTGTGTCAGTTTGTGGTAATGATGGGATCATACAGCAGTAGATATCTTATTTTATTATAAGGTTGATTTTGGATCATTATGGTTGAGAAGAACATGCAGCAAACTGTAATGTTCTATATGGGGAAAATATAGACCTACCCCAGAATGCTATTAATCATCTGCTGCATCAGAGATAACTCTGCTCTCAATCAGTAGTGGCAGATTGTGTAACATACAATACCCTTACCCTGACCCTGACCCTGACCTGTAACTTTAAGAATTGGATTGTTAATATAGGATTGTTGTAGCTAATATTGTGCTTACTGTTTTCATTATTTGTTGTAGCTATTAGCTAATATTGCAATATTGCTGTAGCTAATATTGTGATTGCAGTAGTTTTGAACCGCCTATCTTGGAAGAAGAATCTTGAAATGTACAAGGACCACTATTGTGTAGTTGATGTGAACTTGTTTTGAGTGCTTTGAACTTTGAATATTTGAAGTTTGGACTTTGAATTTTTAAAAAAAGTTTTTATGGTTTGAACATAAGTTTTATATTTGACTGTGGACTTTAAATTTTATCAAGTTTTTATTATTTATGTATGGATACAATAATTTATATTATTAATTGAAGCATGACGTTAAATAAGTCAAACTCGAGCTTGAAAGTTTGAGCAATCTTACTCGAACTCGAGAATTCGAGTCGATCTCCGGCTCGAGCTTGAGCTCGAACATTGAAGCCAATCGAGCTGAGGTTGAGCTATATAAAAAATTGGCGAGCTGAGCTCGAGCTTCAGTTTTAAGGCTCGATTGAGCTCAAGCTCGAGCTCGAGCTCAGCTCGGCTCGTTTGCAGGCCTAGCTGCAAATTGTTTGATCAAATCAAGTCTTAATCATTATAGATTCAGGTAATTTTTCTTTACTCCAAGCCTTCGCTCGATTTTGCAAATGAGCGCCTTCGGTAGTCGCTATTCAGTGCTTCTTCTCTCTTCATATTAGATTCTTACATCTTAGTTTTCTTGTTGCAATTTGACGTGTTGGTTTAATTTATGGACTTGTGAGTTATTGACTTATGGAGTTCAGGACGTTCCATGTGTTCCAGCCTCTGCGTCTCTGTTAGTTTGTGCGGTGGTAAGTGATTGAAATTTTGCAAGCACGATGGAGGACAAAGAGGATGCAGTGAGGGAGGAGCGGGTGGTGGAGGCGAGAGCAAGAAACATCAGTCATAACGTCAGGTGCACAGAGTGTGGCAGTCAGTCCATTGAAGAATCTCAAGCTGACATTGCCATTCTCCTAAGGAAGGTATTTCTTTCTTCATCTTCAGCATGACCCTATCTTATGGTTCAAACTCTAGTAAAGAATAAATTTTTATGTGTTCGGTCAGGTTCGAAGCTAATAACTCTGAGAACATTACATTAAGGTTTCTGTTTCTCCTTTTTCACCCTTAAAATACCAAAAAGATCACCTGTTATATCATATTCAAGTTGTTATGCCCTTATATCATTCAAGTATGTGATATTGTGGGTTTGGATACTTGGTTAGCCCTGCAGTTGTGGCTGGAGCATAGAGATTGAGCTCACCTAAATAATGAAGGTATCATTAAGCATATTTTTGTAATGAACTTGTCAACTAGTAGAGTAAAATAGCAAAAATACTAGGCAATCTGTCTTCATAAAGATCCCACCTTCCCCCTTCCCCCTTCCCCCTTCTTTGTATTATACTATCTTGCAAGGATCTTAACTGTATTTGCTTAGGCAAGTGTCATATGACCCTTTTCAAGGTGTATTTAAGTGTCATTTCTGAATTTTGAGGTTCCCATGGCATTACATCTAAAAGAAATAAGCGAAGGAAGATATTTAAGTTTTTTTTTTCAAGAAAAGCTTTTACTGGGAGGTTATTTCTTTCCAGCAGTCAAACCTGTATAGTGGAGTTTCTTGAGGAAACCTGCAAAGACAGCGTTACAAGCTGTTGATGATTTGTACTTTCTTTTTTCACCTGTGTAGACAGTGCTCCAAATTGTTGATGGTTTTTACTTCATATTTCCAGCAAAGATGATGTAATGCATTTTTTTGCAGCTGCTCTGCAGGATTGTGTTTTTAATTTTTCTAAAAGATGTTTCTTTGATTGGTATTCATATACTTGTCTTAATTATCTGCAATGCATGCCTACACAAGCAAATCTTATGTATAGAATTTTCTTGGGAATAATAATATCAGTTGATCCGAGATGAGATTCGAGAGGGAAAAAGTGACAAAGAGATCTACAAGAAACTGGAGGATGATTATGGTGAGACAGTGCTTTACAGACCAAAATTTGATCTGCAGACAGCTGCTTTGTGGCTATCTCCGGTGAGTTGAAGAGTGGCTTGAGTATATCCTTCCACCATTGCTTTCCATCATGTTAGCTTCTTTAACATTAAACAATTAAATGTTGTTGCAGCTTATGGTTGCTGGTGGCGCTGCAGCTATTTGGGCTTACCAAAAGCACAGGCGAAGGTCTAACGTCCACGTTCTGACTTTGAATCTCATCAGGGGAGTCCCATTAACCCCAAAGGAGAGAGAGACCATGCTAAATCTCCTTACTCCACCTCCTTCTCAATATTCTCCTTCATATTGGTTGCAAAGATTGCTTCGTCAGTGAAACATTAGAGAAGAGAAATGTCCAAATCTCAGTTTTTTTTTGAATAGTAAATGCAACCTGTATAATTATTCCCTAATAAGTGATCGTGCTTTGTAATCATACAAGAATTACAGCTTGGCAATGCATTGACTTCTTTGGATCTAATACACATTCACTTATTATATTTATTCCAAGTTGTTAAACATCTTCCTCAATATGAACACTTTCACCACCACCTCATTACTTTCCCACGCCCACCTAACTATCCATAATAACCAATCTAAATTAAGGTTGAATAGCTTGTTTTATTGACGGCCGTAATATGAATCAATCATACTAGAGACCTTTATAATTATTGATATGTATAGTACATGAATCTATTTAAATTAAGGTGGATAGCTTGCTTTGTAATATGTAATTAAGGTTGATAACTTGCTTTGTAAAATGTAATATGTAGATTTGAATGAATGATACATGGGACAGAAGGTTGTCAGACATGACACGGCAGCAATATTTGGGCAGCTGGATGTGTGCATGTGGTACGTAAAGAAATATAAAATGTACGTTAAGTCAATTTTTTGGTTGCTTTATACGAATTGAACTTTCCAATGATTGTCCCACCTCAATCTTGTCCAGTTGTCCATATACTTGTAATACTTTTAACGAAAGATTTGAAAAGTCAATCTTCTTCTAAGTGAACGTGATAAGTATGAAGACTAGACTAGCTACTATTATAAAGAAACAATAAGTTTGTTGTTGAATTGATATATAGCAGATCGAGCTTGAAAGCTGAAAGTGAATTGAAGGTAGTTGTGATAATATGGGGAGAGTTGAGGCCAATAATGAAGCAGACACCCCCCAGAGGCAGTTCCAGATGGGTGAAGCAGAACCAGCAGTTGCTTCCTATGCTCCCAAATACCTCCCACCTCAGCAGCCAGCATCTGTAGGCGTCCCTTGGAGCACTGGATTGTTTGACTGCCATGAAGATCAAACAAACGGTATGTATATATGTAACACCTACCATTATATTACTTGCTTTCTTCAACATCGATCATATCGTTTTCCCCCAGATCACATATATTAATCAAGATAGATAGATAGATGTTTATTACTTTTTGTGTATTTCAAGTTGTGGTTATTCTGCAATTCTGCTGCAAATTAAATGGTCTGTCCTATACTTTGTGCAACCTTTTCTTTTCATCTTTCTCACCTGCTGATCCTGGGAACCCAGCCAAGTTGTTTAGGCCGTGCTGTTGACTTGGTAACCCAAGCCGGCCTTCTTGGTATGAGCCGCCTTTTACTTCTTATAGTCCTTTGTCAGCTAGTTATGGTCACAAGGCGAGTTTGTTTGTGTAGTAACAAAAGACCATAAACCATGCAAGCTAAGGAAACTGATCTGATTATTGTTGATCTGTTATGGCAGCTTTTATGACAGCAATTCTGCCCTGCGTCACATTTGGTCAGATATCTGAGATCCTGGATACTGGAGAGATGAGTAAGAAACTTCATTCTCAAGTTTTAAGCCACAGAATCTGTACTGTGTCGACACTACTAATGATTTGTTGGTACGATGATTATATTGCAGCATGCCCTTTGGGGTCTTTCATCTACCTGTTGATGATGCCAGCTTTGTGCTCCCAGTGGATCATGGGATCCAAGTATAGAACCAAGCTTAGGCAGAGGTATAATCTGGTTGAAGCTCCATATTCAGACATTGTTTCCCACATCTTCTGTCCTTGCTGCTCTCTCTGCCAGGAGTTCAGAGAGCTCCGAATCAAAGGCCTCGATCCAGCTAAAGGTACCATAAAACTGCAAGCTAAGATGCTCCTGTTTATACATACATTACTGAGTTTGCACAAGTGTTAATAATTATGGCATGAACTTGCACTATTTGCAGGATGGAATGGCATCCTTGCTGATCAGCAGGCTGCACAATATCAAAACCAGCAAATCAACAATCCTCCCCCTCCTCAATCCATGTCCAAGTAGAGATAGATTCCCATTTCCCCCCTCTTGTATTCCTCACCATTTATATATGCTCGCGTTTGAAGCTGTTCTTCTGTGTGTAGTTTTGCAAGAAATTTACAGGATTAAGCTCTCATTTCTGTACATTTCATTATTATTTAAACTAAAGATTGAATAAAGTTGTAATCTTTATTATTTATCAATCAATTTTCCCCATTTCCCCCCTCTTGTATTCGTTACCATTTATATATGCTCGCGTTTGAAGCTGTTCTTCTGTGTGTAGTTTTGCAAGAAATTTACAGGATTAAGCTCTCATTTCTGTACATTTCATTATTATTTAAACTAAAGATTGAATAAAGTTGTAATCTTTATTATTTATCAATCAATTTATGCAAATCCGTTTATTGTAACTAATTAATATTAGGTGTGAACTTATATGCTTTTGTATATATTTTACAAACATTATTGATGGTTTGCTGATACTCTGATCCGTACTTTGGATGTTCTTCCTCAAAAGCTGTTCCAATCAATCATGACAAAGCATCAAACAATACATAGTCAGAAACAAGCTACCAGTAAACGTTGTACGTACTATAAAATATGACAGTGAAACACGAAAGCTCGCCCATTTCATTTTCTACTTATTCTATTAATGAGTCAATGAGAAGTTGCAAACAGTAACAGACGAAATCCGGAGCAATGAATTCCGTTTACGTAAGTGCAGAAGATAATGGAAGACCCAGAAATTTCAAAGTTATCCATCTTCTCAGCTTGCAGTAAATGCCAACAGAAATTTCGGGTTGCAATAAATTTTTCACCGCGGTTTCTGAATTGAAGCCAAAAGGACTAAAGGAGGACCTACCCACCTCGCAACTGCTCGTCTTATGAGCTCATTTAAGGCAGGCTTCTATCTCACAGCTAGAGCTCTCAGCTGTCCCAATTCTTGTTTTCTCCGATTCATTTCTAGCAAAGGTCCCGCCTTTATCTACTCCCAGCGTCGCCTCTACTCTTCTGGTAAGTGTTCTTGATCACCCAGTTGCCCTTCAACTCTCTCTCTCTCTCTCTCTGTATCTGTAAGTGTTCTTGGAGTTAAGGTAAGTGATGTAAATTTTTAAGCAGTTTGTGATTGGTGATTCGGAGTTTAATTTCGTGATGTTTGGAGGAGAGGGAATTCTGGTGTGGGTTACTTTTAGGATCAAAGTTTTCCAGAAATGGTGGTATTTTAATGGTGATGGAGGAATATCACTGTTTGGAGCTGGGGAATGCGATTCTGTTATATTTGCCTTCCCACAAAAAGGCGAAATCCCTGGCTTGCTTTGAGGGCCCCACACCCTGGCCCGACAGGATAGTCGGTGGAGGACGATTCTTTTATATTTAGTCCTAAATCTGTAATCTTTTGTTAGGAGGGAGGTTCTTGATGGTGTGCTTTTTGTGCTTCAAACTTTCCTAGATGTTTCTTTCTATTGATTTAATGATGTTTAGCAGTTGAACAAAAAATCAGTGAAGACATATTGCAAATGAATTGTTGATCTTTAAAGTTATTTCCTTCTTGATCTTTTAGTTCACATTTGTTTAGCATTCACAAGTCACATTGTGGCAGTGATCATGTATTTTCATTCTCTTTAAATTTGGCCGAGGCAAACGTTCGTTTGAAACAGAAAGACTTTCATCAGGATAAATTTTCTTGGATGGTAGTTTTAGTCTATTAAATCATCAAAATCTCACAAACAAGAACATTGAGTTATATTAGATAAACGCATGAATATTGGGTTCCTTAAACTGTTAGTAGTAAAGCAATTTTGACATTTTTACTGGATCTTGAAGCATCTTTTAATTTTATTCCTTTTATAGCTCAAAAGAGTAGCATATATATGGATCTGGTTAAAGAAGTAGCCAGCAAAGGGCCTGATTCCTTTGGGAGTATTGCCATAAAGGCAGATCAAAAGTGCTTCAGTTACCTTCAACTGATCTCGTGTGCTAAGGGGATATGCAGTCTGTTAAGCAATCTTGATCTAAAAACTGTGAGTTCGAATTAACTAACCTCTTCTCTCCTGATACATATAATAGTGTGAATACCATTATAATCTTCAACTGCAGTTGTATGTTACTCAAATTGTTGCTTCTCTATTTAGATTTTCGTTTGCATACTCATTGATAACGGTTGCCTGCAAGAGAAACATGTTTTTCTTTTTTTTGGTTAAAATGCTGTTAATTCAGCTACCTCAAGTCCATTGATGCAACCTTTTCGGTTTTTCTGTATGGTTAGAATCAAAAAAATCATCCCTTTCTTGCAGGAGGATAACATAAGGCGGAATAATGATCTTGGTGGGGCAAGGGTTGGAATTGTAGCCAAACCCTGTCCGGAGTTTGTTGCTGCAATTCTCGGGATTTGGCTTAATGGAGGTGTTGCAGTCCCTCTAGCTCTGAGCTACCCAGAAGCTGAGATCCTGCACGTTATGAACGATTCGGTTTGCCCTCTGCTTCCTAAATATACTTTCCAAGCTAGCTCACATGCTTCAAAGAAGCAAATCTACCTTTCTTCTCACTATGAATCCTCATCTCTATTTGACTGCTAGGATATATCTATGATTTTGAGCACCGAAGATCACCAAGAACTTATGGAAAATGTCGCTGCTAAAACTGGCGCTCAGTTATCTCTCCTTCCTACCATTCCCAGTGTGCATCCACTACCATCTGACGATGGAAATTCATTGCAAATTGAATTCTCTCACAATGTAAAAGGTTGATAAGATAAGATATCTTTCTTGTCTGTGTGGTTTACTTTTTTAATTTGCAGGGAACAGAAATAATGCATCTTCATCATAACTTCATATTATGATGCAGGTGAGGATCCAGCACTGATATTGTACACCAGTGGAACAACGGGGCGGCCAAAAGGAGTCGTCCACACACACAAGAGCATCCTAGCACAGGTATTTCTTTCTCATGACCTTATGTTTCTGTGTTTCCCGTAGGGGCAATCAATAATAGCTTGCACAGAACGAAGCTTTCTTGATTTTCCTGTGGAGTTACACATTCTACTTGTTCTCTATATATTCAGGTCCAAATGCTAAGAGATGCGTGGGAATACTCATCCGAAGATCACTTCCTGCATTGTCTACCCCTACATCATATCCACAAATGCCATTATTCTTTATCTTTCACTCATTTGCTTTATGTTCTTGTCACCTCTGTTAGTTGCTTTTACGCTATTCCTTAACTTCGACTTTACATGTCCATGGGCTTTTCAATGCTTTATTTGCCCCTCTCTATGCAGGCTCCAAGGTAACAACTTCTATAGATCATGTTAATGTACTTGAAACTTCGATAATTTGTAGGTTTCACCTACGACATTTGTTTTGCAGGTGGAATTTATTCCAAAATTCAGCGTGAGGGGAATTTGGCAGAGATGGCGTGAATCGTATCCAAAAGATGGGGCTAAAGCCGATGATGCCATAACTGTATTCACTGGTGTAAGTCTCCAGCTAATGAACATTTTTGCCCCGTTCTTTCTTTGCCTGTAACTCTGGAATATCTTCCATGGTGCAACTTATATTGCCAACATATATATAGGTTCCTACGATGTATACACGACTGATACAAGGCTATGAAGCTATGGACCCGGAATTACAGTCTACTTCTAGTTCAGCAGCAAAGAACTTGCGCCTTATGGTAATAACCTTTCTTCTTCTTCTTCAGCCTCTCCATTATCTTCACTTTTACGGTTTTACCTATTGAATGCCTTATTTCCAGATGTGTGGCTCATCTGCACTTCCACTTCCCATCATGCAACGGTGGGAAACAATCACCGGGCACACCTTATTAGAAAGATATGGCATGACTGAGGTAGATGCACTTGTTTTTTTAACACTACTTTGTGAATTGATCGCTTACTACTTATTTCCACTCTCACGTTTTGTAGTTTGTCATGGCAATTTCCAATCCCCTACGAGGTAAACGCAAAGGAGGTACTGTTGGCAAGCCATTTCCAGGCGTGCAGGTAAGACCATACCCTTTCTGCAACAATAAGTCGTAACAATCAATACTCATTTCTGGGTTTCTGGTAGGCCAAGATCCTTTCAGAAGACGGGAGTGTTGATGATGCAACCGGGGTGGGGGAGCTCTGTATAAAAAGCCCTTCTTTGTTTAAAGGTTATTGGAAGCTTCCCGAGGTATGCTATGCTCTATATATACTGCAACTATTGCATTCGGTTTTTGGGATTGATCTTTTGTGTTTGAATTTCATGGTTATTGTGAATTATTATTAGGTAACCAAAGATTCATTTACAAATGATGGATTTTTCAAGACGGGAGATGCTGTAAGAGTGGATGAAGATGGATACTTTGTCATTTTGGGGCGTATGATCGAATTCCTTACACATACAGAACATTGCCAAATTTTGTTTGCTTATCATATATTCATATATAGATCTTAACATTAACTAACACTCTCCCATCACGTTTTTCAGGTACAAATGCAGATATAATGAAGGTTGGCGGGTATAAGCTCTCTGCACTCGAGATTGAAGCAGTTCTTCTCGAGGTTTGCCATTTTTCTTACTCCTTCTCGAACAATCTATATATACTGCAAACTGCTCTTAGACAAAGATGTATATAATCAAAGGTACAATAATGTTTCATTTTCCATAAATTTAACAGCATCCAGCCATCTCAGAGTGCTGTGTGCTCGGCCTACCAGATAAAGACTACGGGGAGGCTGTGTGTGCAATAGTTGTGGCCGAGGCAGAGCTCAAACAGAAGCTCGAGCTAGAATCAAGCGAGTCTGTCCTCACCTTGCAACAACTCTCTGCTTGGGCTAAGGAAAAACTCGCCCCATACAAGGTATGGTTTTTCGCCACTTGCCCTCAGCTCGGGACATTATATTTTTCTTCAAAAATATTGTTGTTACGTTGTTGTTTAATTTGCAGATACCAACTGCTCTTTATCTGTGGGATTCACTGCCTCGTAATGCCATGGGAAAGGTGATCAAATTAATTATGTTTTCACAGTAATTCCATATGATCAACACAAGAATTTAGCTAGTTTGTTGAATATAATTGTTTTTCCATTGATATATATTAGGTGAACAAGAAAGAGCTGAAGAAAATTTTGGTTGATGATGATGGGATGAAGAACAACTGAATGATGGATTAAGTACAAATGTAATGGAGCTCTTGAATGAAGCCTTATGCACTCTCACTCGATTGAAATTAAAGTAAAACACAAAAATTCCTATGATTTTAAATATGTAATATTTTTTAGTGAAAAAATGTAATAATTTTTTATGTGTTAATAAATATTACATTTTTGCTAAAAGATATTTCACTGTTATTTATTGTGGAAGCATTTCATGTAATGGGAACTTAATTGGAATATGATGTTTTGAGGAGTACAAGGTTTGGATTAGACGATGTAAGCATTTCAAACTTCAAAGGTAGGGGCCTAGTCTGTTATTATTGTATATTTAGATAATAATCATATATTTGTGTCTCCAACTTTTTTTTTTCTTTCTTTCTTGAATTGGTCTAAACATTGACATGACATGTCATGAAAATACTACATGAATTTAGGTTTCAAAATACATATAAGTTCAATATATATATTGCAGTTACTCTCATTCTGACTTAAAAAAATGAAATTCAAATAAAATATGATTGATCATGATGCATTTTCATTTAAATTGCGTTCGTGTTATTTTCTTTAATTATGTAGTGGACAAAAATGTGAAAAGAAATATATAAATTTGCACTATGCAGTTGATCGAATCACATATCTCATATCAGTTTTATGTGTTCATTAATTATTTATAAATTGATGAATTTTAAGATTAAATTAATCAGTCAGAAGAAAAGGTATCAATTATTGAGTGGACAAAATGAATGAAGAAGATCATATATAGAAGTTTTTTATAGAATAATGATGAATGCATATATTGGATGAAGATTATGGTAATATATAATGGGCGTGCGTTTGGGCACTCTAATAAAGGTGTCACCATCATGCTTTGATTTCCAAAAATGAAATAGAGTAGCTTCTAGAGATCTCTTTTCATTAGTGAATTAAAGCACAAAAGGACAATAAATTCATCTTTTTCTTATTTAAGCATCATCATCTCATCATTATTTTGTATATTGACCACATATTAAACTATATATAGGATATATGAATATATGAAAAACCTCAGTTGAATTAGTCATGATTAACTTTTTTTTTTTTTTTTTTTTTTTTGAAAGTTACTGGTTTTTTTTTTTTTTTTTTTGAAAGTTACTGGTTCTATTACATTGTAGTATCTGTTCATATACTTTCTCAACCTACTGAAACACAAAGAACCAATAACGCCTCCACTGAGGCTCAAACTCATAATCTTCCAAATGAAAGTCCAACCCGAATACCATTAGACCACATAGTCCTGGTAGTCATGATTAACTTAATAACTATAAAATTTCAAATTTAATTCAATGTGAGAATTGTCTATTGGTCTTTTTGATTTAAGTCGATCAGCTATGTGCAACCTAATTTGATTCTTTATCAGTTAGAGTAATAAGACGAATTTCTCTCAAAATACATTTTTTATAACAATCAACAATTACGAATTATAATTTTTTTTCATAAATAAGGATATATATATATGTATATATATATATATATATATATATATATATATATATAGTAGCGGCTATAGACTTTCCAGTAATTCAAACTTATATATTGTATAGCATCTTGAATGAACCCTGCCCTTTTTAATCATAGCATATCATCTTTTCTTAGTGGAACTCCAAAGTGGAATGACCACCCTTTTTAATCATTGTATATTTGTATTAACAAAGCGCTATATATGTACCTAGGGAAGAAATCAAGTGAGGGTGGTGCTTCCCGTGCAATTGTGCAGATAGACACACATTAAGCATCACACTGGCACACTTTGAGTATACAACACACGCACATTAAACACACAAACAAAATACATTCAGAACACAAACTCACGCACCTTAAGCGCAAAAGTTGCGCATCTTAAGCACAACCCTCACGCACCTTAAGCACAAAACTCATGCACTTTAAAGTTTCAACAACAACTTACACAACAACTCACATTAAGTACACACTCACGCACATTAAGCACAAAACTCACATACATTAGGCACAAGAGTCACGCACTTTAAGTACAAAACTCATGCACATTAAGTATTACACACTCATGCACATTAAGCACAAACCTCACGCACCTTAAACACAATACTCACGTACATTAAGTACAAAACTCGTACACATTAATCACCCGCACAACCGCACGAAAAACATTCACCCACGTTGAAACTTAAACCTATGTACCTATATAGGTATCTTTTATGGTGTTCATTTGGTATAATATATATCATATCTAATTATATCATGTTGTACTATTTTAATACCTATATAGGTATCTTTTATGGTGTTCATTTGGTATAAATATATATCATATCTAATTATATCATGTTGTACTATTTTAATATCAATGTTAATAATTAATCTACACTACAATGTAACTTGATATAATACATTTAGTTAGGGCATCCTCAATAGTGTGAAGATTTTGAGGGAATTTTACAGGTATGATTAGCAAAGAGAAAATGAGAGGGGAAAAAATCAAAATTAAAATCTAAAAAAAAATTAAAAAAAAATAAAAAAGAAGAATTACGCGTCCGAGCGGGCGCGAGAGTTGTGCCTCACATCATTCTCCATTGGTGGCCCCACTTACCTGCAAAATCCTCAAATTAGCAGGACCACCAACCCCTGTCTCTCCTCTCTTCTCCGGCCACATGCCCATTTTTTTTCTTACTTGTGCAAAATCTCCCGGCCTATTGGGGATGGCCTTATGAGTAATTCTACATGTACTCTCAAATTATACTCCTATTTTGCACTCCATTATGACATGACATGCTTTGATTGCTTAATTTAGTAGGGGGCCATGATGTTTATCCATTCTTTTTCTTTCTTCCTCTCATCAAATTTGAACACTAGTGGGAGTACAAATTGGGAGTATGGTTTTGAAAGTACATCTAATATTTTTGTTTAGTTATACCCAATACTATTTGTTGAGCCTATAATATATAAACATAAATGTGCAATCCAACTATCAGCTTAGATTTTTAGTTGAAATGTAACATATACTTTAATTAATTTAGTAATAGAGTCATTACATGTGTTGTTTGGAGCACATCAAAGATAAGTGGCTCACACACATGAGGGACATGTTGAGCATATAACTAGGGGTGTCAATACGGGCCGGCCCGCCCCACTGCGGGCTTTTTATTTGGCGGACTTTGGCGGGCCGGCCCGCGAAGCCTGCGGGTTTGCGGGTCTCGCGGGTTGGCCCGCGGGCCATTACTTAAATTAAAAAAAAAATATTAAATAGTATATAAACATGTTAAAACCGCTTGAAATATGGCACCGGAAACCTCCATAAAATCCATAAATCTCGCCCAAATCACCCGGATCGATACCGCGCGTTCAACAGAACTGTAGACGGGTGATCAAATCACGGGTTCAACAGCACACTCGATTTCTCTCTCGGCTTCAGATTTTCCCTCTACAATTCCCGTCTGTGTATAACACATATATAAATATGTATGTTTGCTAGACTTGGAGGCGATTTAGTAATTCATAAATATGTATGAATTGATGATTTAGTTTTAGTAATTATTTGATAGAGTTGGAGGCGGATGGTGACGGGAGAACCGAAGAACTACGTACTGTAGGAATTATTAAATTAAGGGGGGTGTATTCAATCATGACTTTCATAGAGTTTTAAAGACTTTTATGAACTTTAAAAGTTTGGAGGTATTCAATTCAAACTTTTAGAGAGTCTTTAAAAGTCAGGCGGTATTCAATCAAGATTTTTAAAGAGTCTTTAAAAGTCGTGTGGTATTCGATTAAGACTTTTAAAGAGTCTTTAAAAGTTATGTGGTATTCAAAAAGTTATGAACTTTTGTAGACTTTTTAATTTTAAGACTTTTGTAGACTTTTCCTTCTCAAATATAAATAGTTGAAATCCGACCATCAACCCCAAGATTTCAAATTTTCTCTCTAACAACTTTGAATGTTTTCTCTCTCTATTTAAACTCTATTTTTTCTCCCTATTTAAACTATATAAACCTATCTAAATTCAATGAAATTATTTTTTTCTTCATTATCCTATATTTTCCTCATACCTAAACTCTACCAATTTTTATCTCTCTCCTACACTTTAGAATCTTCATCTAAAAATTTGAAATAATATTTTTTTACTTCATTATTGCTTGTTTATATCAATTTTTATTTTTTTCTATGAATTTTTTATCCCTAACTTTCTCTAATTCTCCCTAAATACATGAACAAAGTAAATTTTTAATCGTCAAATTTTAGTATATGTTTCATAGTATTCATATAAATACTTATATATTTTGATTTTTATTCTTTTTATGTTTATATTCGTAATATATATATATATATATATATATATATATATATATATATATATATATATATATATTAACAACAGGTTACTACGAATAGCGAATTACTGTTCGCAACAACAATTTAGGATTGCAAACAGTAGCACCTTGTTGTTGTTTGCAATCTCAAATTGCTATTACAAATAATAGCTCTTTGCGTGATGCCTAGCAATATATCAAGTATATATATATATATATATATATATATATATATATATATATATATATTATTAATATTATATTTTATTTTTTTATTTTATGCAATTTGTAATTATATTTTTAAATATTTTATTTGATCAAGTCTTTTATTATAAATTTTATTGTTCAATATTGTTATGAATTTCTAATGAAATAGTTTTTTTTATGTTTATTAATAATATATATAAATAATTAGCATATAAGTCTCAGTATACTATGGATAAAAATAATAATGTTGAGAATGTTCATGTGAGGGAAGAACTATATAATAAGAAGAATTTTATGATATATTATAAATGTTTTGTAAGAAAATTGTAAATGATAAGAATCAAAATCATTGAAAGTTTGTAAGGATGTATTCAATTTAGAATTTCAATGACTTTTGTAGACTTTTTAAAATAAAAAGTTGATAAAAGTCTATGAATGTTTTTTATATAGACTTTTATAGAGTCTTATAAAGTTTTAAAAAGTTTTGAACGACTCTATGAAAGTCAATCAAAGTTTATTAAAATCTATCATTTTAAAAGTCTTTAAAACTCTACAAAAGTCATGATTGAATACACCCCCCTAAGAATTGGCGAAGGATTATTGAATTATTGGATTTCTCCCCTTCTACGTATTCTTAGATAGTTAGATCTACACATTGCCTAAGAATTAAGATATTATATATATGACACCCCTACATATAACTATCAGTTATGGGTATTGATTATCGAACTGACGTACTTTTTTTTTTATTTTTGGGTGATATTGGTAGTTAAATACTCTCATATAGTCATATATATATATATATATATATATATATATATATATATATATATATATATATATAGGGTCATTTTGCCGGTGAGGAAGAATTTGAACATGGTTTCCCTGAAAAAGAAATGTCTAACATGGGATACAAAAGAGGGAAATTGTTTTTCCCTTATGCGAAATTGTACTTTTGGTATGTCGCCTAAGGGAAAGACAATTTCCATGTCTATTTTTGATATACATTGAACCACCGCATTTGTGCAGTATTTACGTATTAACGTCGTATTTACTTAAAAATCAACGTATTTACTTATAAAACAATGTATTTATAGGTTTAAATTAACGTATTTACGTTTGAACGATCGTATTACAATTTTTTTAGAAAAAAAAAAAAGGCAGAATAAACGTTAAATAAATTAAGGTGTTCGATTATTTTGTTGATTTGATGTTAATTAGTAGAAGGACGAATAAATAATTGATGCAAACTCCTCAAATAATTTAGCTATTGTGATTGATGTTGTTAAACAAAAAAATATTGCAGTAGAGAAATTAATTATCAAGATCTCAACATGAAAGCTAGACCTATATTTTGACACATCGTTAACTTTTTTCACAGAACAGTGGGAAGAAATAACAACACATTTTAATATTAATACAACCGAAGACGATGTCGTTTTATTCAGTTTGGAGGACAACAGTGTTCTACTGTTGGTCATTGGTGCATGTCATGTTGAAAATATTTATCCATGGTCGGTTAAATATTTCATTAATGACCATGTCTATGGTGAACTTTACACTTTAGACGTATAATAATAATCCTGTTACACGTTTCGATGATTTTATTATATTGTACCTATGTTTCACTTTTAATTATTATTTTTACTTGTATTATTGTCTACTCATAAATTTTTTACTAAATATCACGACAATTTTATATTTAAATATTTAATTAACAACACAACATTATTATACAAGAGAACAAAATTAATACGGCATTATTATACAAAATTACTAAATTAATACAGTTAACACGGCATTATTATACACAATTACTAAATTAATACGGTATATAGCTTTATAAATACGTTAATGTTTATGTTGCCAAACACTTAGGCGAAATTACAAAACATCAATTTCGCCTAAGGGAAAGGCACTTTCCCTGATTGGTATCCCAGTTTGGGAATTTTCCTATTTCGAATCCCACGCTCAATACTTTCCCCGATGAGTTAATGATCCTATATATATATATATATGTAGTATGATGTGCACATCGCGTAAGGATTGCGAAAACAGCACCCAAAAAGTGGGTTTGACCATTTTCATTTTCATGGTATAATTCTTAAGAATGATGAAAGACAAAGGAGATTGATGAGACCACTGCCCACAGCTGTAGTACTGTGTCTCCAATTATTACTTCTTTTCCAATATGTAAACTTTTCCAAAAATACTGTTAAAATGAACCAACTGATTAAGCAGAGAATTGATAAGCTAAGCAAGATTAATTAATAATGTATGATATAGTGATCATCATTATATATATATTCATCAAATGATGATATACATATATGTATGATGATCTGATCCGATGATGGGGACGAGCTGGTAGCTTCAATTCGCTGCAGTTCATGCATGCATGCATGCATTATGCATGCTCGAATATAATTAGAGTGATGATGATGTTAAAAGCCTCCGCCGAGAGCGGGAGCCCAGTACTCAGCTCCTCCATTAATGTCGCTTCCCACACCCACATGTTGATCGGTGCATGACAATGGAACCAAGCACAACCCTCTACTCCTCAAATCCCCTCCTCCTTTTTCCGCTGCAGCTTCCTGCCATTTCACAGTTTTCACTCATTAGGTGATTGTAAAAAAATGTTTAGTAAATTAACGACTAGTTGATAGCTGATTGTAGAAAAATGTTGGGACATATTTTAATATGATATTAGAAGAATAACAGTGCAACCCACCAAAGAAGATGGTATAATATAAATTATTAGTCCAAAGAACCAAGTTTGGTGAATATAGCATGTGTGTGCGCTGTACAAAATGCGTGCAAAGCAAAGTAAAGGTGGCATCATCATCATACTCATATTAATATATCATAGTTTTACTTTAGGGGATTGAGGGATCCAATAAAGCAAGTTGCATTGGGTTGGATGACTATTCCAAAATTAAACTATGCTTTTTCTTCTACTCACCATATAATTATTAACCAATTACTCTAATGCTATTATTACTCATGCGCACGTGTATCAATCCACACACTTCACATTTTACGAGAAAAATTCGCAACTATACAATAGACGAACAAAATAACCATGTGTGACAAACTTGACTAAGAGAGTATTGAATGTGCGAGAATTATACTAGCTCGACTCATTTAACCACTTCTTTCGAAGCATAAAATCATATCGACTAATTTAAATTCTTAAGAATTAATTTTTGCTCGATTTTAATTCAGTGTTTGATTTTTCATTCTAAAAATGTCAAAAATAAAGATAAAGTAGTAAAATCAACGGTTTTGATAATAAGCAAACCATACACAGTTAACATAGCCATACACACCACATATGATTTTATCACTTTACCCTCATTTTTAACGTCTCAACTCTAGCCTCTAAGAAGGAAAATCATGTGACAAACTAAAATCAAACAAAAATCAATACTAGGTGTGATTAAAATTGATCAATTATATAGTCGAAGAACAAAATTAGAACTAAAGTCAGAAGACTATTTCTAAAATTAACTCTTCTTTAATATCTTGAATCATAATTTTTAAAACAAGTAACATTTAATATTTAAAAAAAAAAAAATTTAAGGGTCAACCTTAAAGGAAAAGGTTGCTAAATTCAAATGTGGGTATCCCCAACATCATTAAAAAGTAAGTGGCTAGCTTTAAGAATATACGCTTTTATATTCCCACCACATATATATAAGAAAGCAGATATGATTATTATGAGTGAATTATCATAGCCACCCATTATTCCTCAAAACTAGCTTAGTGAAAATGAATCTTTGGTGCTGCATCGGAAAGTGTGAAAAGTGCAGAAATTATTATTATTATTAAATAGAATAAAAATAAAAATAAAAAACTTACAGATTGTTGGTGAGTGTGCGCCATGCTTCCTGCTGATGCATTGCCCAAGTATGGGGAGCTTAATGCCTGCATAACAGTAGTCACAGCTCTGCTGTTATAAATAAAGAAGAAAAAAATTTCTTTTTAATTTTTTTAAAAAATTATTATTATTATTTTCTGAAATGGTCAGGGAATAAGGTTTTTATTATGAGAAATAAAATGGGAATTAATTAATAAAGTAAAAAAGGAATGGAGATGAGACCTGAATTTGAGTGTGGAGGAATCTGATGTAGCCAATAGCTTCTGACAAGACGGAGGCCGTGTCAGTCTGCAAAAGAGAAACATCAAACATGCCATTGCCCTCAAAGTCATGAATGTTCACCACCTAAAGTCTATTCTTTCTTTAAATTTCTTCATTTTTTTCATTTCATTTCTTTGATGTTTCAACTTTGAAGCAGCAAGCAAGCAGACAGCCCTTGCCCTTGATGGGTTACGTTTCTGACTTTGTGCGGATTACTAAAGTTAAAGCAAAAGGAATTTTTATCGGTTTCTTCTTTATAATATTATTTTTTTGTGTACCGAAGAAGACTAATCCCTCGCTGAATTGTAAACACTTCTTTTGAATGGAACAGCTGACCTGAAGATTTAAAGTTGTTCCATACTCAAAGCTAATGATAGAACCTTTGACCTTTGGTTAAGGATATAGATGAGATCTTTATAATATTATAAATCTTTTTATATATGCCTTTTCATCTCTAACTCTATCATCTATCTTGATATTCTCATACCGTCCAGTCTCATTATAAACACTTATGCAATAACGCTCTTAAAAAAATTGTCTTTCAAGGAAGACTCATCTCAATAGGTCTTTATCCCAAGAAGTTATGACACTAAGCTAACTTGTATAGACAAATTCTCATGTATGTGTGTGTGTTTTGTTTTGTTTGAAATATTAACTTACTAACCTAATAATTTAGAGTAACTTGTAAATGAACTGCTAATGTAACTACGTAGTAATAAAAAAGGTGACACTTAGAGTCAACAAAGAAAGTATTAACTTACCCATTTTTCTAAACCTCATCCCAACTAAGATAAACTCTCCTATGACATTTCAATGATTAAGTTAGTCTGATTTCAATACATTGATCATGTATTTCCTCTTTTTTTTAATCGTTTTTTTAGGATAACGAGGGAACGAGATAAATCGTACCATGCATGATGATGACCTGATACGACATACTCAATCAAGAGAATATTAGCAAAAATTAAACTCTTAATAACCTTTTAGTACAAGAGTCATGCATGTTCTACCCACTCAACTACATCTTTCTAGATCGACTTTCTTTTTCTCTTAATTAGTTGATGAGATGGAGTATATATGTAGAAATTATGGGGTGAGCAATGAATATACCCAAACTGCTGCAAGGCACTAAAAGAAGAAAATAGGAAGGTAAATTCACCTTTCCAAATGGGGAAACAAGTTGGTGAAGAGCTGTTATTCTATCCCCAAGCTTCTCTTTCCTCACCTGCTTCAAATCAATTCAATATAATTAGCTAAATTTCATATAATTTTGTAATTCATAAAATTTATTCCTTCAATTCATTCCTCCGTTACTAATAAAAATATATATATGTACAACTTTACGTCATCATCACTGTAAAAATTCCTTCATAAATTGATACCCAACATTTTCAGTGTCCCTTTAATGTGAACATGCAGATCAACATATGTAGAGCTAGATTAGAGCAAATGCAAATTGAAGACGTAAAATGAGACGAATTAAATGGACACAAAAATTAAATTTAGAGATGGATCGGAGATGGTGAAACCTTTAGAGATGATTGGGTTGAAGATTGATGAACCCTAGCCTTCTTGGGTGCCCCTCCACTACTAGTGCTTGTGCTGTTACACTGTCAAAGCAAAACATTCAATTCCTACTTCAATTCCATCATTTTCAAACAAATTATATAATCCATTTTGAATTTTTTCTTAATTTTAGATTACCTGGGAGGAATGGTGAGTGTTGACGATGGCCTCCGGGGGCTTAGGGCAACTGCGGTGACCGGAGAAGATGAGAACGTTGTTGTTGTTGTTGTTGTTGCCGGCGCTGTCCCTGAACGCCGTCGTGACGCAAGAGCGCGGCGAAGAAGAAGAAGAAGCAAATTCTTGGTGGTGATGATGGTGAGGAAGCGGCCTGGGCGGCGCCGCCGCCGCAGCGGCGGCAGTTTGCTGGAAATACTGATGATGATGATCGTTTTCTAGCACGAGAGGAAGAAGAGGAGGAGGAGGATGGTGGTTGTGTCCGTACAGGTGTCCGATTTGAGGGAAATGATCTTCATGCTTAATTACATCAACAACAGGAGCTGTGGAAGATGATGATGATGATGGGTTATTATTATTATTATTATTATTCCCATTGATGATTTGATCTTCCCAAGTCTCCTGCACCATTCTCTTGTACTGAAAAGGACTCATACCAAACTTTTCGTTTTCAGCACCGCCCCTTCATGGATGCACAAAAACACAAACATTAAACCAAAAAACATCAATTTCCATTAATAATACACATTCAATATTCATACTATGTAGCTACCGGCCTATATATACAGTACGTAGTATTCATGTTTCACACATATATACACCAAATTAAACTGTAATGTATGCAGGCAGGCAGGCAGGTGAAACCTGGATAAAGGGAATTACAAAAGTTTTAATTTTAATGGCAATCTCAGCATAAAATTGTATTAATTAAACTAAACAACCTTAATCTTTAATTTGATGAGCTAGCGTTTCTTTTGAGATGAACTGTTGAGGTTGTCGGTTTCCAATAGTAACTGTGTGTGTGTGAACTTCAAAGTAAAGCTACACAGACAACTAGGGCTTTCTGAAAAAGAGGCAGACAGAGAGAGAGAGAGAGAGTTACAGGAGGAGTTGGCTCCATGAGCGTGGAAAATCCTGGGCTGGGTTTTCCGGCATGGAATCGGAAGGTGCATAGAAATGGTGGGACGACGAGGACGGCGGCGAGAGCTGATAAGAAGGAGAGGAGGAGGAGGAGGAGTGGTGGTGCGGTGGGTGCACAGTGCCGGCATTCGCCATCATGCTCCACCAGTTAGTAGGGTTTCCGGCCATCATATCATATCACCCAGGCCGGAAAGAACTCAAACTCCATCATCATCATCATCATCATCATATCAATCTCTAGAATGAACCTCTTTCCAGAATCCAAAATATGGCATCAAATATACACAAGAAACAAAACCCTTTTCTCCTCCTCTTTTAAGCTTTTTGCTCTTTCAGCTACAAATTAAATCAGTTTACTTCTTTCCCTGAAAGAGCACCCAAACGAGGCTTTCCCCAAGCTTTCATAGGATCCGAGTGTTTGCTTTTCTCAGAAACAATAGTACAATTTATGTCCCTCTCAACTATGCAGTAGTAGTAGTCTTTCTTACTTGCGGGCTTCATTTTTATAAGCTTTTATTATCTTTTTCTTCTGTTTTTTCCTCCATCACTTTCCCTTCTTTCCTTCTTCTTTTTCTCTTTTTTTTTTTTTTTTAAATTATTATTTTTATTCATTTTTTCCCTGCTTTAATTTAGCTTTATCTAAAGTGGGGCACAATAGGTTGGTGGGGACTTCTGCCTCCGGAGCGTCCGAAACACCAATGCCTTCTGCACCTTCACTATATTATTCATTATATCATTCTTATTGTTTATTATGTATCCCATCACTCTACTCTGCACTTGCACTATTGTATGTGGTGTTGTGCTGTATCTGCTGGGAAAAAAAAATGAGATTTCGAGAAGACATTTATCGTCTCTCTGCTCAACATATCTGACCAACCTGACAAACTTTCCGTCCATCTATAGATGGATAGAACTTCGTCACCGTGGTGGTGGTGACCTTTCCGTCCACTCTACTGTTGTTGATTTTCTTATGTTGATCAACATCGATAATAGTAACAAACCCTTCATTTCTGATGTTGATACGTAACAAACGCTTAATAATTTCTTATGTTGATAAACATTGATAGCAGTAGAAATAGTTGTATGTAGTGGTGGTAAAGATGGCAGTAGCATTTGATATCACAAAATTGTAGTTGAAGAAAATTAAAGCAGCAAAAAAGAGTGGTGATTTTTGTGAAAATAAAAAAGTGCAGCTAGGAAAGAGAGTATAACACGCACATCTCTTCATCATATTCCTCAAGGATCCTTAGCTATACAATCAAACAAAAAACCAAGGAGGACCACTCGGAGCTATGAATTATATTGGACCAGAATAGTGGTATCAAATATCAATTGACTTCTATAATATCTGAGAAAAGTCGAAATAGATTATGAATGACATCTAAAGATAAAGCTACATCCAACAGTGCATGTAAAGTTTGCAAAAGATGAATGTTTAGTAAAGAGGAAGAGATGCTTTATAAAAAGAATCTTGAATTCTTGATTGCGATTTGTGAGAGAAATGCGGTGTTTTTTTTTTTCTTTCTTTTGGGCAACTTCAATATGGTATCTTCACCCTCAACTCGCCTTTCATTCACTGTTTGATGAAGTCCCTGCAAGCAGTGATGGTACCTGTCAATGGTTGAATCCCGTTAACGGTTCAGACACAATTCTCTCAGAAAAATTAGTTTTCAACAACATTATTAAGCATGTCAAATAGGTTTCAACTCAGGTCCCAAACCAGCATGTAAGTTAATAGACAGAAGAATACTAAGGAACTGCCAAGTACAGTGCCTGTGACAATAACAACTAAGTGAAACAACCTAAATTACATGCATATCTGATTAAGTAAAATGAATACAGAGGATTAGGAGTCCACTTTCCTTTAGACAAAGCAAAAGAGAAATAAATTCTCAGTCCTTAAGACCTATCTTTATCACAGCTCCAAAAAAGAGAAGAAGCTCATAATGGAAGTCTTTATCAAAATCTTCTATTTAATTTTCCTTCCCATTCAGTTTCACATTTATCAACGAGTCTCCAGAAGTAATTTACCATTGGAACCTATTATGGCCTAGATTTTTTTAAAAAAATTTAAATGAAATTCTTCTATGCAATGCTATATGGACATTTACCAAAAAAAAAAAAAAAAAAAAGATGCATAGCTGACATGATAAATAAATATGTTGTGTATCTATACTGACAAAGCATAGCTACAAATGGAATTCTTGGACTGCCAGACAGATGGCATACAGCCTCATCAACTGCAGAATTTGAAGATTTCTCCTTTGAGAGAATGGATCAAGAAAGTCTTTGTGTAGGATGAGTTTAGCAGGGAAAGAAGCAAGAGTGACATTTCCTGAATGTCAAAATAGTCTTTAGAGGAGAGAATGCCTGAATTATATATAATTGTCACCAGAAACATATATGCTGTGTCTGAATCAGTATAACAGGACTTATTAATTACTGCAATTAAAACATATATTACCAGAGGTATCTCACATAAATAATTAAAGATACTAAGTTTGTATTACCATAAACAGCGTCAAGCAGAGAACTCTGTGAAGTTCTTACCTTTTTCACTCATCTCTATGCAAATTCATTAAACCATTTCCAGAAGTAGGCTTATCAACCCAGATGGAGAACAAGTGAAGAACCACATGAGAAACTCAAGGAAAACATCAAATTCTGCCTCATATTGAAATAACATTCCTGGCTAATGCCAACGAAGGAAAAAAGAGAACAAATTAAAAGCATAGTGAAGACTTCTTAAGTTCCACTACTGCATGAGACAATACTTTATCCAATCAAAAAACAAAGAGCGTCATAAGTACCTTCATTAGAGACACGACCATAACCAACTATTTAACATGACTGACATTTCAATGTCAAGCCCAACTATGTCAACCTGATTAATTCTGGATATTGCAATTGGGATTGATGACTACTAAGGGGAAAGAATTCATCATAAAGAAAATCATAACTGCAGTTGGGAATGAAACAACAGAACTTCGTAGAAGTTGATAATAAACAAATTTAAACACTTTGGAAGGGAGAAAAAATGAAGGTTGACATGGTGTAGTGGTCAAGTGCACATAATTTGCAGTTAGTTCAAGCATGATGATATAGCACTTCAAAGTTCACAAAGAGCATAACTCAGACTGCCCTGCTACCGCAAAGATGATTTATTTCCTTTCAATATCATTTGATTATGACTTATGAGGTTCCTGGTCAAGAAGATTGCATTAAGTTCGGCACATTTTGCTATCAGACAACCTTTGTACTATAACAAAGTCTAGTAATTGGCTCTTTTACATTTTGCTGCTTCATCCAATCCAAAATATTATTGAACTCTGCACACAGTCCAAACATAATGAAAAAGATACAACTACAATTGAATTCCTTGATGCCTAGTTTTTGTTTTAGTCCTTCAAAAGCACATCCCGATTCTTTATAGTCAATCTTACCTTAATACGGACAAAAAAAAACATGATAAATAAACCTGAGAACAAAAAGATTAACAGAAGAAATGGAAGAGGAGGAATAGTACCTGGTGAGGTGGAGTGAGAGATTGCCAGAGATGGAGTAATGCTGGGTATGGAGTAACCCAAGCATCTTTCACTTATAGAATAATAATTGGAACATTGTGCACCAACGTAAGACTTAGAAAAAAATACTCTCAGAGTCAAGAGTAATTGGTTCTTCTTTAATTGATATATATAAAAGCGTTTACACAATTAGACTAATTTCTGGTTTTCTTCCTGGGTATAAGCAAACTGCAGTAATGTCTAAACTTGTTGTTTGTCCAGAATGCCCCGAGACAACCTGTGTAATTCCATATCAACCTCATCAGCTTCCTCCTTCATCCCAAACCGCCGCAATCCCTTACTCAACACGATAGCCAGATAATCATCAACTTCAGCGCCGCTCCTCTTCATCAGCCGGTAAACCCTGGCCGTAGATTCCGCCCTCCCAGCTGCAATCAACGCCTTCACTAACTTAACCAGCCCCTTGGAATTGGAACCGTCAAGCTGGATCGCACCTTCACTTTCCAAATCGCAAATCAAACGGTCGATTTCTTCTGTGAATCCGTTCCTAGCCAAAGTGGCAGCCATGTCGGCGTACAGATTCAAGTCCGGCGAGTCGTATTCCAGTCTAAGGGCGGAGAAGACTCTGAGAGCCAAATCGCAGTGCTCTTGACGGAGAAGCTCTTTGTAGGCGGCCAGTAGGTCCGGCTTAAGGAGGCGGGAAATTGTAGAAGAAATACTAGAGTCGATTTCCGAGGGGTTGGTTCTCTGCGCCCGCTTCAGAGCTTGGATGGCTTGGATCGCCTCTGTGCTCAGAATTCGGCCTTTGTAGAGCGGCCCTCGGTTGCTCCGTGATCCGGCGCCACATCGCACCGGAATGTAGCTTCTAGAAGCGGCGGAGGTCACCGGGTGGGCAGTTGTTGACGGTGGATACGAGATGAAGTTGAGACTTGAGCCCAGCGAGGCTGCCATGACCACTGCAATATCGACGCTAGAAGAGGATAAACTGATAAAGTGTATTTATATTCTGAATTTACTGAAACGCCCTTTTTAGTGTGGAGAAGAGAAAAACAGGGAAAATGAGAAATTGCAAAAACTCATCGTCGACAGCAGGATTCGAACCTGCGCAGGCAAAGCCCAACAGATTTCGAATCTGTCTCCTTAACCACTCGGACATATCGACTTGTTGACAAAAGAGCCAAGAAAATTTATAATGATTGAGACAATACTCCCTGATTACTAACCAGGCCAAGCAATAATGTATCAAACAACTATGACAATTTATGTTTAATAATATTGCAGGTAAAGTCGATATGTCCGAGTGGTTAAGGAGACAGACTCGAAATCTGTTGGGCTTTGCCTGCATAGGTTCAAATCCTGCTGTCGACGATGAGATTTTGCAATTTCTTAGGTCGTCATTTCGGTGGCGTGAGTGGTCGTGCATTCATCTTTTAAGAGATGTCTAGGTGCAAATGAGAATTAGTCTTTTAATTTGGTGCGAATTGGAATTAGCACTGTTGTCCTTTAAGAGATGTCAGAAGTTCGAACCCTATCCCGTAATATCTTGGGAATTAGCACTGTTGTCTTTTAAGAGATGTCTGGGTGCGAATGAGAATTAGTCTGAGTATGTACAAACCTCATCTCGTATGGAAAAACCAATTGTCTTTTAAGAGATGTTTGGGTGCGAATGGAAATTAGTCTGAGTATGTACGGACTTAAAGGTGTCTGTCTCCTACAGTTAGGGTCTACTCAGGACAGCTCGTGTTCTGACAAAAAAGTAATAATAATATTGTAGGTGTATGTTAACTAAGAAAATAGAGAAAAGTTTCGCTTTTGATCACCTAACTAATTAATATACATAAATTACATTTGGCCTTTGATAAATAAAGTCATAAGTTTAACTTTATATGAGAAGTGAGAACCGACTATTAACCTTCTAGGTTTGATCCGATCAATTATGTTTAACCTTGAGTAACTATAATTAATATGGACAACATCCATAATCCACCTTCAACTAGTAGCTATCAAAGAAATCAAAAGTGTGTGCAGTGGTTGTTGCACGGCACCTTGCTACCTTGTGTTTGTAATGCCACTGACAATATTATTCATGACTTGATTAGGATTTCGAACCAAATTGCTCAAATGCATGCATCTTATAAATTAGGCTTAACGTTTTATGCCAAGTTGGCCCAATAAAACAACAAAAATCCAATGCAAAATGAAATAGGAAGCCAACTCAAATACCAAAAACTAACTCCCAAATATACTCAAACCGAAAAGAATGATATGAATTGTTAGCTCAATTTTTTTTTTTTAGAGTACTTTGTATAATTATTTCTAAGCAAAAATTTATACCAAACATTAAACCTTGTTCTTTAACACAGTGCATATTTACCAGAGTTGATTATCCAACTTTCTAGTTGCATTACCACTTCATTTACTAACTACTTTAACTATTTGGATTAAGTTTTTATATGTTGTGAATAAGGGTCAAGTAGATCACTGAACAACACGTGAAAATATAATTGGATCATTAAACAATTCAAATCATGCAATTTAACTGAAATTGACACGTATTTTCAATTGTATGTTAATATGGTAGTTAAGTTTTAAAAAATATATTTTAATAATTGACACGTATTTTCAATTGTATGTTAACATGGTAGTTAAGTTTTAAAAAATCTGTTTTAATAATTTTAAATAAATTACAATAAAATAGAAACTCCCCCATCTTCTTCTTGAAAAAGACGAACGGGGCTGAATTTTTAATTGTAATTTATTTAAAATTATTAAAATAAATTTTATTTTTATTTTTTTTTAAGTTAACTGTCACGATAGTGTACAGCCAGTCAACCACAAGTATATGCCATTTCAGTTTAATTACACATTTTTAAATTGTTTAATAAATCAATTATAATTTTTAAAAATTGTATGACCAAATTATAATCTTGTGTATAATTTGATGGGGTATTTAAGCTGTATTACTAATAGAGTTAATTTCACCAAAGGTTCTTTTTCTTTGGTGGTAATTTCAAATCTAGTCCTATATTATCGTGTTTGTCATTTAAGTATTTTAACATCCCAGACTATTGTTTTTGGACACTTTTAGTCATTTTCATGACTTTTCCTATTTTTAGTAATGATATTTTTGTCTCTTCATATTTTTCGTTTGTTATTTTTTTTTTATTTCAACCGGTTTAATTGATTTGGAACTTTAGGTAACCTTTGATTTTTAGTAATCATATTTTTCAACTGATTTTTAGTAAAGTCCTAAATCAATTAAACCAGTTAAAATCGGAAAATAACAAAGAAAAATATGAAGAGACAAAAATGCCCTTACTGAAAATAGAAAAAGTCATGAAAATGACTAAACGTGTCAAAAAAAAATAATCTGAGATGTTAAATGACAAAAATAATAGTCTGTGACTAAATTTGAAATTGTCATCAAAGACAATGGACTTCTGGTGGAATTAACTCTTACTAATATATGTTGCATCTATGTAGGATTAAATTTTGGGGAGAATGGAGATGGCATGAAAGGGTGGCATATATGTATGTATATCCCAAAATTTGTGCAAATTAAACTAATGAAGTAATGATTGGAGCGGCGAATTGAATTGAATAGGCGTGGATAAGCATAAACTTTAGATGGACCAACAAAGTTAAGAAAAATGAAGATAAAATGTCGCCCAATTCCACGACACGAAGAATTTGTGAATGGGATGTCCAAAAACAGGAATGAGTCATGTGGTAGTATATGAGTGGCAGTGGGGGGTATCTTAGCAACTTGGGTATGTATATGCACTGTAGCAATGGTGGGCAGCAGGTGGGATCCATTGGTGCCACGTGGAATGCCTGGATTGGGAGGAAGGATTGGAGAAGATGAAGATGAAGGCACTCGCCGTAATGGGGTGGATGCATGGGCCTACCGTTGATCCAAGAGGAATCCGGACAGATTGCCCCGCCCCGCGCCCGTGGTCGGTAAACCAGATAGCTACTCATTTTAAGCATTTAGTTACGATCAAATTTTTATTGAAATAAAAGTTTTAACTTTGTGCGTATAACATATATAGATTGAATTTGAATTAATCATACATCAAATGCGATAATATGTGATGAAGACATTGAGCTAGGTTGCTAGTATGTACTGGTTGAAGCACGTACAAGTCGGGCAACCTGCATAAATTTCAATCTGCATAGTGGCTAGAATGGAGTTATGTATCAATTTTCGTGGCAACATTTAATTTGATGTCTCATTTCACAAAGTTATAATAATATGTTTTGTGGTCCGAATATTTTGACAAGAAATTTTTAACTTATATTTTATTTTAAATCCTTATTACGATCTAATTTATTATAACAATAAACTATTCTACTTTTACATCTGAGACCGTAAGATATTTCATCAAACAAACCAAATTAATATTAGTTTTAAGAGAGAAGCATTTAACTATTTTTGAGGCTGCATGATCGGTCATTTTCTTACAATCTACGAGTCCGTGCGGCGAATTTTTTATTCCATTTGAGGTGCCCGTTAGACCGGTCCGGCGCATGTTAGCTCTCGTTTTACTACCAAAACAACGAGTAAAGAAAAAGAATCTGAAAAGAAAATATTTTTCTACAAATAAAACAGCAATGAAAGCTTTGCCGGAGTATACGACAGTGATTTGTCGGTAGATAATGCCGGGTTGGTCACAACTTACTAACTTATAGAAGTTGACAAAATTCTCGATTGAATCACAATAGATGAGATGACACGAATTTCTGTATTTTTAATAAATTTTGGATTGAAATAAATACGGAATATGAAAAGTTTTGTGCTTTAAGGAAAAAGAAAATTTCCCGCAGGCCAAACAGTGATTTTGAGTTTACCCGTGTTGTCTGTCCCCTAAGGTGGTTAAGTTTTGCATATTTTGTTTACTGTTTTCGATAAGTTAGAGGAATAATTTTGTTCCTGTTTGTATTCTTTAATCTCCCAAAAATTTGCTTCCCTTTGTTGCAAATTGCATAATACAATAATTGAACAAAAGAAAAGGCTACAGAAAGGCCAAAGAAGATTCTTTTTTTGTATCAAGAAAACCAGCTATTTTTGTTGGGAGAACTCAGAACATAAGACCAAGAAATCAGGCTCTTTCTATCTCTCTCTCTCTCTCTAACTCTTCTTTCAAAGTTGTAAGCAAAGCTGCTTTCTTTCTACCTTATTCTCTCTCGTGTTGTTCATCTAAATACATCCTGCTTGGCTCTCTGCAAGCTGGGTTGAGTATTGTTACCCGTTGTTCTCTTGAAGCAATTTGATGTCTGTGCCACTGGAACATGATTACATAGGTCTATCAGAGGCTTCTTCCATGGAAAGAAGCTCTGAGAAGATCTCATCTTCTGGTTCTTCCTCTACTGTCTGTACAGAGGTTGAAGAAAGCAATGATCTTAACCTCAAGGAGACTGAGCTGAGGCTAGGGTTGCCTGGTTCAGAGTCCCCTGAGAGGAAGGCTGGAGCTGCAGGGGCTGGGGTTTGTCTTTTTGGGAAGGATTTGGAGGATAGAAGTGTGGGGTTTAGCCCTCTCAAGAACTTTGTGTCAGGAGCTAAGAGAGGTTTCTCTGATGCTATTGATGGTTCTGGGAAGTGGAATTTGTCCATGAATGGTGGATCTGAATCTGATTGGGGTAACACAGATGTTCTCTTCTCTCTCAAAGGAGGGAATCCTGGCCCAAAGGACACCAAAACATGCTTGCCAGCTGGACCTCCCATGAAAGAGGTTGCTCCTCCACCTCCAAAGCCTGCTGAGGAAAACAAACCCTCTCCTATAAATGAGAATGTTGGTGCTCCTGCCCCAAAGTAAGCTTTTCTTCTTCTTCTTCTTTTGCAATGTCTTTCTTTTCCTAAATATGAAGTTCTTCTGTTTTACTATTTACTGTTTATCTGTTTCCAACTATTCTTACTATTTGCTATGACTTCTGAATAGTTTTGTGGCTGAAAAATAAGATAAAGAATGGAGCTTTGCTTTTAATTCACTGTCCCACT